GCACACAGGCTGAGACCATGTGGGGAATACATTACCCATCTGCCCGGAAAAGAAGGAAAAAGCTCTGGTTGTAATGAAATCATATCAAGATATTAAGTACTAAAAAGCAAGGTGCAAGCTGGGCTCGGAGGCTCACGCCTGTAATCCCAGCACTTTGGGAGGATGAGGCAAGTGGATCACCTGAGGTCAGGCATTCAAGACCAGCCTGGCCAACATGGCAAAACCCCGTCACTACTAAAAATAGAAAAAAATTACCCGGGCGCGGTGGTGTGCGCCTGTAATCCCAGCTACTTGGAAGGCTGAGGCAGAATGGCTCGAACCTGAGAGGTGGAGGTTGCAGTAATCCGAGATTGCGCCACTGCACTCCAGCCTGGGCAACAACTTTGTCTCAAACAAACAAACAAACAAACAAACAAACAAGGTGTGAAACACCATTATACAGGTATTTCTTAGAGACATATAAACCATCTCTGGAGAGAGGGTAATGTGCCTGTCTCTGAGGAGTAGCTGGTAGCTGTCAGCAGGGGTGTAAGGAAGATTCTTTACTAAATATCCTTTCCCATGTCTTGATTTTATTTTTTATCATTTACAAGTATTATCGGCATTATTATTATTATTATTATTATTTAGAGATGGGGTCTTGCTATATTGCCCAGGCTGATCTTGAACTCCTAGGTTCAAGCAATCCTCCCTCCTCAACTGATCCTCCCGCCTTGGCCTCCCAAAGTGCTGGGATTACAGGTGTGAGGCACTGGGCCCAGCCAGTTTTTTTTTGTAAGCATGAATTATTGTTGTTATTATTTCAAGACAGAATCTCTGTTGTCCAGGCTGGAGTTTGATGGCACAATCACCACTCACAGCACCCTTGACCTCCTGGACTCAAGTGATCCTCCCACCTCAGCCTCCCAAGTAGCTGGGACTATAGGTGCCCAGGACTTTTCCTTTTTGGGGCAGATGGGTAATGTATTCACTGGTCCCCACATGGCCTTGGCCTGTGTGCAGGAGCCTAGAATACAAATTTGGGATGCTATAGGGACACCCCTGAGGTGAGCCTCCTGCATCGACACGGTCCTACAAGATTGGCCCCCTGTGGCCATTTGAGCTCCCCACCCTAGCCCCCATACTCACTATTGCCCACAAAGTATTGGAATTCGGGTGTGAGCCATCAATCTGGACAATTGGATTAATTTTTAATAGGGTAGCAAAAAGTCGTCCATGATAGAGGAACTGTTGAGTGTAAAACTGGTCCATCAATGGAATTTTTTACAGCTGTTAAAATGTTGATGCCCGGCCAGGCCTGGTTGCTCATACCTGTAATCCCTGCACTTTGGGAGGCTGAGGTGGGCGGATCATGAGGTCAGGAGATCAAGACCATCCTGGCTAACACGGTGAAACCCCATCTCTACTAAAAAATACCAAAAAAAAAAAAAAAATGAGCCGGGTGTGGTGGCAGGTGCCTGTAGTCCCAACTACTCGGGAGGCTGAGGCAGGAGAATGGCGTGAACCCAGGATGTGGAGCTTGCAGTGAGCTGAGATCACACCACTGCACTCCAGCCTGGGGAACAGAGCAAGACTCCGTCTCAAAAAAAAAAAAAAAAAAGATATTGATGCCTGGCTGGGCATGGTGGCTCACACCTGTAATCCCTACACTTTGGGAGGCCAAGGCGGATGGATCACCTGAGGTTGGGAGTTCAAGACCAGCCTGACCAACATGGAGAAACCCCATCTCTACTAAAAATACAAAATTAGCTGGGCGTGGTTGCGCATGCCTGTAATCCCAGTACTTTGGGAGGCCAAAGTGAACGGATCACTTGAGGTCAGGAGTTTGAGAGCAGCCTGGCCAATGTGGTGAAACCCTGTCTCCACTAAAAATACAAAAAATTAACTGGGCGTGGCAGCAGGCACCTGTAATCCCAGTTACTTGGGAGGCTGAGACAGGAGAATCGCTTGAACCCAGGAGGTGGAGGTTGCACTGAGCCAAGATTGTACCACTGCACTCCAGCCTGGGTGACAGAGCGAGACTCCATCTCAAAAAAAAAAAAAAAGTTGATGCCCTTCTGTGGGTACATAAACCCTCCCCCATCCCGGATCTCTTGTAGGAAAAGCCAGAGCCTTCACCATGGCCCACAACAAGGTCCTACAAGATTGGCCCCCTGTGACCATTGGAGCTCCCCACCCTAGCCCCCATACTCACTACTGCCCACAAGGCTCCGGCTACAGGGGAACCACATCAGCCATGCTCCTGCTTTGGGGACCTTGCATCTGGTGTTCCCTGTCTTCTCCCAGCTCTTCTCACAGATAGCCACAGGGCTCACCCCCATCGCAGCAAAGCCTCCCAGGCCACTATTTCATCCCCCTCTCCTCCCTTTCCCTCTGGCACTCCTTACCCACTTGCTGCTTAGTTTTTCTCCACTTCGCTCACAATTTGGCATGGTGTATGTTTCACTTATTTTGTTGATTTCCCTTTAGACCAGAGGTTGCCAAACTACAGCCCTCAGGCCAAATCTGACCAAGGTTTGTTTCTTATATGGTCCTTGAGCTAAGAGTAGCTTCTACAGATGAACACTGCAACCGATTTGATGATAGATAACACTAACTTGGAACCTCAATTAAGGCAATATGTAAACCTTCAAAATTCCATGCTTGCGGGACCTCGTGTTTCATGCCTGTAATCCCAGCACTTTGGAAGGTGAGGCAGGCAGATTGTTTGAGCCCAGGAATTTGAGACTAGCCTGGGTAAAATGGCAAAGTGTCATCTCTACAAAAAATACGAAACTCAGCCGGGCATGGCGGCGTGCACCTGTAGTCCCAGCTACTTGGGAGGCTGAGGTGGGAGGATCACTTGAGCCCAGGAGGTCAAGGGTGCTATGAGCGGTGATTGTGCCATCGAACTCCAGCCTGGACAACAGAGATTCTGTCTTGAAATAATAATAATAATAATTCATGCTTACAAAAAAAAAAACTGGCTGGGCCCAGTGCCTCACACCTGTAATCCCAGCACTTTGGGAGGCCAAGGCGGGAGGAACAGTTGAGTTCCGGAGTTCCAGACCAGCCTGGGCAATGTATCAAGACCCTATCTCGATTATTTATATTTTAAAAACAAACAGGTTGGGCATGGTGGCTCACACCTGTAATCCCAGCACTTTGGGAGGCCAGGAAGGGTGGATCGCTTGAGTTCAGAAGTTTGAGATCAGCCTGGCCAACATGGCAAAACCCCGCCTTTACCAAAAAATAAATACAAAAATTAGCCAGGTGTAGTGGTGTGTACCTATAGTCCCAACTGCTCAGGAGGCTGAGGTGGGAGGATTGCTTGAACCTGGGAAATCGAGGCTGCAGTGAGCCAATGTTGCACCACTGCAATCCAGCCTGGGTGACAATGGGAGACCCTGCCTCAAAAAACAAAAAAAAAATTAAATAAAAAAAATGAAAAACAAAATTGTACTCAAATATTATCATAATTTAAATATTGTCCATAAAAATTTTGTGGAAATTTGTTTTATCTTGTTATATGAGTACTGACAACATCCTTGCTATTGAAGTCTGCAAAACCTAAACATTCACTCTGTGCTCTAGACAGCTCCGCACACGAAGGAACTTCGTCTGTCCGCTGCTATGACCTGAGCGCCAGGAACAGGGTCTGGTTCAGTAATTATTAGCTGAATGAAATGAATGAACTCATACATATATATACACACACACATACACACATACACGTGTGTGTATATGTATATGTACACACACATATATGTATAATTTTTTTTTTTTTGGAGGCAGAGTCTTGCTCTGTTGCCCAGGCTGGAGTGCAGTGGGATGATCTTGGCTCACTGCAGCCTCTGCTTCCCAGGTTCAAGTGATTCTCATGCCTCAGCCTCCCGAGTAGCTGGAATTACAGGCGCGAGCCACCACACCAGGGTAATTTTTGTATTTTTAGTAGAGATGGAGTTTCACCATGTTGGCCAGGCTGGTCTCGAACTCTAGTTCGAGAGTTATATATGCCCAGTCTGAACTCATATATATTTTTTTTTTTTTTTTTTTTTTTTGAGACGGAGTCTCGCTCTGTCACCCAGGCTGGAGTGCAGTGGCCGGATCTCAGCTCACTGCAAGCTCCGCCTCCCGGGTTCACGCCATTCTCCGGCCTCAGCCTCCCAAGTAGCTGGGACTACAGGCGCCCGCCACCTCGCCCGGCTAGTTTTTTTTGTATTTCTTAATAGAGACGGGGTTTCACCGTGTTAGCCAGGATGGTCTCAATCTCCTGACCTCGTGATCCATCCGTCTCGGCCTCCCAAAGTGCTGGGATTACAGGCTTGAGCCACCGCGCCCGGCCTCATATATTTTTAACTGAAAAAAATATCAGGTGTTGCTGGGCGCGGTGGCTCATGCCTGTAATCCCAGCACTTTTGGGAGGCCGAGGCGGGAGTATCACCTGAGGTCAGGAGTTGGAGACCAGCCTGACCAACATGGAGAAACCTTGTCTCTACTAAAAATACAAAATTAGCTGGGCGTGGTGGCAGGTGCCTGTAATCCCAGCTACTTGGGAGGCCGAGGTAGGAGAATCACTTGAACCCAGGAGGCGGAGGTTGCAGTGAACCAAGATCGCACCATTGCACTCCAGCCTGGGCAACAAGAGCAAAACTCCATCTAAACAAAAACAAAAACAAAAACAAAAACAAAACAGGTGTTTAAAAAAAAAAATCAAGCGGGCTAGGTGCAGTGGCTCATGGCTATAATCCCAGCATTTTGAGAGGCCAAGGCAGGAGGATCAGTTGAGCCCAGGAGTTCAAGACCAGCCTGGGCAAGATGGCAAGACTGTGTCAACAACAACAAAATTAATAATTAGTTGGGCATGGTGGCACACACCTGTAGTCCCAGCTACTTGGGAGGCTGAGGTGGAAGGATCCCTTGAGCCCAGGAGTTGGAGGCTGCAGTTAACTATGATCATGCCACTGCACTCCAGCCTGGGTGACAGAGAAGACTCCATCACTTTTTCTTTCTTTTAAATTAAAAATATGGAATGCTTTATGAATTTGTGTGTCATCCTTGCACAAGGGCCATGCTAATGTTCTCTGTATCATTCCAAATTTAGTGTATATGCTGCCAAAGCGAGTGCAGGACTTCATCTCTTAAAAAAATATATCAGGTGAACAGCATATGTAATAGGCTGCCTTTTGTGCAGAAGTAAATAAGATAATATCTGTCTCTGAGAGATCCAAGAAGCTGGCTGCTTCAGAGGACGGGAGCAGGGCGGGGAAGAAAGATGGCTTCTTTCTCTGTAAGCATTTTTAAAATTTTTATTTATTGAGACAGAGTCTCACTCTGTTACCCAGCCTGGAGTGCAGTGCCATTATCTCGGCTCACTGCAAGCTCCGCCTCCCGGGTTCATGCCATTCTCCTGCCTCAGCCTCCTGAGTAGCTGGGACTATAGGTGCCCACCACCACGCCCAGCTAAATTTTTTATTTTTAGTAGAGAGGGGGTTTCACTGTGTTAACCAGTATGGTCTTGATCTCCCAACCTCGTGATCCACCTGCCTCGGCCTCCCAAAGTGCTAGGATTATAGGCGTGAGCCACCTCGCCCGGCACTTGTTTTTTTTTTTTTTTGAGATGGAGTCTGGCTCTGTTGTCCAGGCTGGAGTGCAGTGGCTCAAGTTCGGCTCACTGCAACTTCCATCTCCCAAGTTCAAGTGATTCTCCTGCCTGGTCTCCTGAGGAGCAGCTGGGACTACAGACACATGCCACTGTGCCCAGCTAATTTTTGTATTTTTATTAGAAACGGGTTTTTACCATGTTGGCCAGGGTGGTCTTGAACTCCTGACCTCAGGTGATCCGCCTGCCTTGGCCTCCCAAAGTGCTGGGATTACAGGCGTGCGCCACTGTGCCCGGCCTCTAGAAGTCTTTGTTTGTTTGTTTTTGTTTTTAGATGAAGTCTTCCTCTGTCACCCAGGCTGGAGCGCAGTGGTATGATCTCAGCTCACTGCAACTTCTGCCTCCTGGGTTCAAGCGATTCTCCTGCCTCAGCATCCCCAAGTAGCCGGGACTACAAGTGTGCACCACCACGCCCAACTAATTTTTTTTTTTTAGTAGAGACGAGGTTTCACCATGTTGGCCAGGCTGCTCTTGAACTCTTGACCTCAGGTGATCCACCTGCCTCGGCCTCCCAAAGTGCTGGGATTACAGGTGTGAGCCCAGCCTAGAAGCCATTTTAAAGAATATGAATGTTTTATTTCAGAGATATGTGTCACTATTTCAAGTAAACTTTTCATGAAAAAAATCCAGCGACAAAAAATGAGGCAGATACTGACAGCCTCTGAGACTCTTCTTCCTCTGTCCAATGGAGTAGTATGTCTGGTGACCAACCGGCCCAGTTTGCCTGGCACTGAGGGTGTTCTGGGGCAATCCCAGACAAAGTGGGAGGAGGTGGTCACCTTGGAAAAAGGAAAGTTGTGGAAACCTTCAAAGGTGGATGTTGGGGGGCTGAGCTGGGCCCCGAAGCCAGGCCTCTGTGCACCTGCCCGGGTCCGATCACATGTCTGCCAGAGCCCAGTTCCACACCTGGGAGATCGATGCCTCTGGAGCTCAAGGCCTGAGATAGGCCACTGGGATGTCCCTATAGTGCAAAGCACACCTTCCCCAGTGAGTCTCTGGGCACTTGCAGGGTGGGCGGGCTCAGGGTCTCATACATGCACACTTGCTCCCACACTTCTCATTCAGACTGTCTCAGACTTGGCCCCTTACCCATCAGACTGCACTGATAGAGCCCTGCTCTCTCCATCTTCCTGGCAGAATCTGCCTCCAGGAAAATCCCAGGGTCTCCGGGCTCCCCTGCCGGCACCTGCCTTGCATACCTGTAGAGCTTTGTGCATCTTTGATCCCCAGCAGGTGAGAGGTATTGGCAAGAAGAGGAAAGTGAGAGCAAACTCTTTTCTTTTTCTTTTTTATTTAGGGACTTGGCTGCCGCGCAGACCACAGTGACCTGGCTCTCGCGGCTGCCCGCAGTCTCCTTTTTCCCCAAGGATGCCTGGAACACCCTTCCCCAGATCCTCCCAGAGCTGGCCTCAGTTCAAATATTACCTTAGTGATGTTAATGCCATTTCCCTTTCCCATCTCTGTCACATTGGCCTTGAGTGGTAGGCAAGATTATCAGCTCCATTTTATAAATGAGGAAACTGAGGCTCAGAGAGATGCTGTACTAACATGCCCAAGGCGTAGTGAGCAAGCTGTGGCGGGTACCTGGCTGAATGGGCTAGGATACTGTGATAAACCAGCTGTGCAGACAAGGTTCCTGCACCGCGTAGGTCACAGGCGAGGGGGAAGCGGGGTAACAGCTGGTTCAGTGTTCATGCAACTCTGAGGCACCTAAGGTGACTCAGAGGAGTGAGAGCCAGGCTGACTCCAGCTTGAGGTCACAGGCATGAGCAGGTGAGTGAAGGGGCTGGCGGAGGGTGGGGTAAGAGGACATTCCAGGTGACAGTGATAAAAAAGCCCAGGGGCAGATGAGTGTTCCAGGAAATGAAAGTGTTCAGGGAGGCCCCTTAGAGTTTCTGAGACTGCCAGTTTTTGTTGTTGTTGTTATTTTATTTTGTTTTATTTTTGGTGAAACGGAGTCTCATTGTCACCCAGGCTGGAGTGCAATGGCGTGATCTCGGCTCACTGCAACCTCCACTGCCCAGGTTCAAGCGATTCACCTGTCTCAGCCTCCCAAGTAGCTGGGATTACAGGCGCCTGCCACTGCATCCGGTTAATTTTTGTATTTTTAGTAGAGATGGGGTTTCACCATCTTGGCCAGGCTGGTCTTGAACTCCTGAACTTGTGATTCTTCCGCCTTGGCCTCCCAAAGTGCTGGGATTACAAGTGTGAGCCACCACACCCAGCTGAGACTGCCAGTATTTTTTTAAATCAGAAATGCTTAAATGGAGTTTAGAAAATTATGGTCTGTTTGTCGTACTTTTATTGAAAACATTAACACTTTTAACACATATATACAAATCACTACAGAGCATGGAGCCTGGGGTGGAGCCTAGCCCTTCAACCTCTGCTTCTGTGACCCCGGGTCAGTCCCTTCCCTTCAACTGTAACCACACCCAGGACAGGAGCTGAAACTGACGGCCACCTCAGCAGCCCCCGCCAACACACACCCCCTCACCAAGAGCAGCCCCTCTCCTGACCTCACCTGGCTTTTCTCACTTATCTTAGAGATTAATAGTTTCCAGATAAAATACAGATGCCCAATTACATGTGAAGTTTAGATAAACAACAAATAGGTTTTTAGTGTATAAGGCTGCATGAGACACATGCTTCATTTTAAATTCAAATTTAACTGGGCCTTCTGTGGTTTTATTTGCTATTATCTGCCAACCCTACTTGGAGATGGGCTCCTATCAGCGTTTCCAGCACAATCTATAACCAGTCCCCTGTTGATGGGCAATTAGGTCGTTTCCCATTTTTTGCTTTCCAGGAACAATAGCCCCATGAAGATCCTTGCACAAAGGACTCTGACCTCAGCTACGATTGTATCCACTGGGTGTGTTCCTAAAAGTCGCTTAGTCACTTTCCTGACTAGATTCCTGTGGCCATGGAGACCCCATGGATCAGAGGAATTCCTTCTCAGTCTCCATCGAAAGCAACTCCCTGTCACTCTCCCAATCTCACTCTCTATCAACCTTGCTCTTTCTCGTCTCTCTCCATCTCTCTCTTTTTTTTTTTTTTTGAGACAGAGTCTCGCTCAGTTGGCCAGGCTAGAGTGTAGTGGCGCGATTTCGGCTCCCTGCAACCTCTGCCTCCCAGGCTCAAGAGATTCTTGTGCCTCAGCCTTCTGAGCAGCTGGGACTACAGTCGTGTGCCACCAAGCCCAGTTAATTTTTGTATTTTTAGTGGAGACAGGGTTTCGCCATGTTGGCCGGGCTGGTTTCAAACTCTAGAACTCAAGTGATCTGCCCAATTCAGCCTTCCAAATTGCTGGGATTACAGGCGTGAGCCACCGCACCCAGCCTCTGTTTCTCTGCATCTGTCTCTTTCCGCCTCTCTCTGCTTCTATAGATCTCTGACTCTCAGTCTTTCTCTCGCAATCTCCCCAGACTGTCAGCCTCTGTCCCTTCTCAGAGACTTTCTCCTTTTGACCCAGCAGCTCTACAAACAAAATAATCTGACAAGTTGGGGAAGATGTATTTTTAAGGATGCTCACTCTAGTACTGTCTGTAGGAGTCAAGCTAGAAACAACCTAAACACCTATTGCTAAACAAAGTATGCTCCGTCCCTACCAGGCAGCATCATGCGGCCATTGGAAATAAAACCACATCAACATGGAAAGATGTTGACAGATATCAGCGTGAAAAACACAAGTTATAGATGGACAGTAAAGCATTCGCGCATTTTCGGTTTCAATCAAAACTATAATGACCCGGGCCAGGCAAGGTGGCTCACGCCTGTAATCCTAGCACTTTGGGAGGCTGAGGCGGGTGGATTGCCTGAGCTCAGGAGTTCAAGACCAGCCAGGGCAATATCGTAAAACCCTGTCTCTACTAAAATACAAAAAATCAGCCTGGCATGGCAGCGTGTACCTGTAGTCCCAGCTACTTGGGAGGCTGAGACAGGAGAATCACTTGAACCTGGGAGGTGGAGATCGCAGTGAGCCGAGATTGCGCCATTGCACTCCAGCCTGGGCAACAGAGCAAGACACTCTCTCAATAAAAATAAAAATTAAAAAAAAAATATATATATATATAATAACGCAAAGACATGTAAGAGTTTCACTACTGATTGAAATTGTCATCCTGGTTGTCTCAGGGACTGGGGCGGGGGGGCCGTAGGAGGAGGAGTGGCTTCCACTTCCTTCTTTATATTTGTCTTCCCTGTTACTTTTTTTTTAAACAAGGGGCATTGTAATTTTTAACACTGTGCATTTGTGCATATTTGCTTTATTATACCCTACCTGTGTGCTCATGTGTGTGTGTATATGTATATTTTTTATATGCACATACACTATTATTTTCTAAACCATATCAGAGTGGATTAGAGATGTCATGCCCCTTTACCCCATACTCTTTACTGTATGTCTGCTAAGAACAAGGACATTCTATTATGTAACTGTGATATGATTATCAAAATCAGG